TGTGTGTGTGTGTGTGTGTGTGTGTGTGTGTGTGTGTGTGTGTGTAAGTTTTCCATGCTATTTAATGTGACTTTATTACACCTTGAGGCCATGTGTTCCCTAGAGTGTTCCAGGCTCCAGACTGGGCCCTCTTCTCCTTTCTGTTTATAACAGGGGGAGTCCCAGTGCACTAGAAAACATCTATATGGTGATAATTTTCTAACATTTCTCTCTAGTTTTTATCTCTCCCCTGAGTGCCAGACTCATAGATCCAGTTGCTCCCTGGATATCTCCACTCCAAATACATAATACACAACTCAAACATGACAGGTCCAAAATGGAACTTTTGATTTCTACCCAGAATTAAACAGTTTAGCAGGTGCATTAAACACAACACTTCTATGAGCCTTTCATATGCTATTGCATGTTGTTAATTTCCAATAGTTTACCAGACTTGAGAAGTGCTGTTCTGGAACACCCTTTGGAAATACTGTTCTGGAACCAAAGAGCTTTGAAGTGAAACCTATGATCTCAGCTAGAACCAAGCTAATGGAGTGAAGTACCCTGCTCTGGAGCAAAGGTACTCCTAGAAGCATCAGCGTGCAGAGGGAGGCAGGACTGCCTACATACAGCTGATCATCTGATTCGCAGGAGCAGCTATGATGTATATAACTGATTTCAACTCACAATAACAGTAATAATAATAATAAAGAGTTGTGTTAGGAAAAGAAAAGTGGAGTCTGACCTGATGCCTTCATTTGATAAAATCACCAAGGACTTGCAAGATCATCCAGACTCAATTCTGGGTCAAGAGAGAAGAGATTGTCAGTCCAGCCACAGTCTATGTCTGCGAGTTTTTAAAAGACACGGACACTGGCCAACCTTTTAATGTTGTACATTCTTCCAATTTAGCATTCAGTTTTAATATATGTAATTTTCAAACTGCACCCTTTCAAGATTGGCAGAGAAGCTTTTTTTCTGAACCTCTCCACGCACCTCATGTCCCCCACTTTGTCAGTGCATTTTCCCTGGGTTTGTGCGATGTCTACCATTCCAATCCTATGTGAGTTTTTAAAAGACGATTTCCATCTTGTAGCTACGTCACGAAATCATAAAGACAAGGAGAGGAGGGGATAATTGCCCTGCTTCTTCCAGGAAAAAGTAAGTGCATTCCTACAAAATGATGGTGGCAGTGACTCAGCAGTCAAAGACCATTATCACATGAAGAATTCTACTGCAGTAGAAAAAGAACTGACTCTGGAGTCAGGCTGACCTTAGCTCCCATTCTGGTTTAGTGACAGTGATCCTGTGCTCTTCTAAGTAAGTTAATTAACTGCTAACAGCCTTAGTTACCTCATAAGTGAAACAAGGACAACCAAACCCAACTTGAAGGATTACAGTGAGAATTATTTATTTTTGTATCCATGCATTTAATGTGCCTAGGCAGTGCCTATCTCCTAGGAGGCCCTTATTAGCAGAAGATTAACTCTTCAGTCCCACAGTATAATTTTAAAGCATTACCATTTTAATATTTACTACATTTTGGGTCCTGTAGGAAGCTGCTTCCAAAAAGGAAAAGAGAAGATTTATAATCTGAATAGATTAGAGTTTCATAAAGCACAATGAAGCATGCAACAGGCTCTGTTAAAAATAAATAAATAAATAAGGCACCATGCATGTATTCTGCTGCCAACTCTCGATTATTCATGTTAGGAAGGAAAGCAGATGGGGGAAGTCCAAAAAAGTAAGTAATCAAAAAAAAAAAAAAAAAAGCAACTCTTAGATTTGTCTTGACATTTGCATTGAACTCAGATGTATGTGATGTGATATTCATGGAAAGATTTTTAAGGTGTTTTCCATAAGAAATCCTGACTTCAGACAATCAGCGTAGTCACAGCACTTTCCTACCTCTTCCCCCACACAGGCACTAGGCAGCTCCTCAAGCAGGCTGATCCAAAAAAAAAAAAAAAAAAAGCAGTGTGAGCTAACGTTTCACTCACTCAAACCTCCCCATCCATAAAGATAGCTCCATTCCTTGGGTCATATCTGCATGTACAGTAAGTACAAATGGAATGAATATGGAAATACCAACAGAGCAAGTGATTAGGAATCCCCACAGAGAAAGCAAAACATATGTAATTAGATAATAGAGATTTGGGTATGCTGTCCTTTGGCAATCGTTTTTAATATTAGTATGGGGATAACAGAAAACCTAGCAGCAGAGATGATGTTAGTGTGATGTAGGAACTAAAGAGAACATCCGTAAGAACACACCCCCATCAACCACTTGTGTTGAGCTTGGCATTGGTAATTAGAGGCAAAGAAGGCACTTCAGTCCCATGGAGACTGTTAAACTGTAGGCCTATCTTTTGAAACTCCTTAAAAATGCAATCTAGTGTTTTCCTCAGTTCTACAGAGAATAAGCCTCCATTGGCTTAAAAACCTATCCCAAAGGAGAAAAAGTCTCTTCTAGGCCAAAAACAAAAAAGACCCACATATATAGACATCAGTGTTTCAAAAACAAAAATGGTCTCATTCATGCCCCTCCTGGCATTTAAATCACTAGTGATGTCACTATGCAGATTCTCTCACAAAGAGGTGGGGTTTATTTCTTCAACCCTCCAATCAGGATGGGCCTTGGGGCTTGCTTGCTTAACAGAATGTGGCAATAGAGGATGTGTGTGAGTTTCTGAGCATGGGCCTTAAGAAACCTTGCAACTTCCACATCTGCACTCCCTCAAAATCTTGCCCAGTGGCCATAGGAACAAGTCTGGGCTCACCAGCTGTTGGAAGACTCTTCATATGGAACAGAGGTAAGCTACCCCCACTGAAGCCAACCAAACAACCCAGTTGCAAAACTGCCTGGCAGTAGACTGAAGATGAACAAATGAATCTAGTGCAGACTAGAAGAGCCAATTAGCTGAACCCAGCTCACATTTCTAACCAACAGAATTATAAGGTAAATAAATGGTTGCTTCTTAAGCCACTATGTTTTGGAGTTATGTGTTACACAGCAAATCTAACTAATACACCATTCTAAGAAGAGATGTTTGAAAAACAAGCTTCAACATGTAACATGGATGATCCTGGATGTGGGAGAAGGATTTCTGGGTGAAGGATGATTACTAATATTAGAGCAAAGAAATTCTGAAGGAGGGGTGAGGCTCACCCCCTCATGAGCTTCTACATAGCATTTTACTTCAGCATGTAGTAATCTGCAGAAGGGGCTAAATTTCTGTGGTTTCCTTACATTTGTTAAATAGCTACAGTGAACAACTTCCTGTGATATTACCAAGAGATAATGGCCAAATTCTGTGATCTCCAGCAAAATAATTTCTTACAATTCAACAATGCTTCCCATGCTTTAGAACTTGCCTAAAGACAAACCTGACTAAAGGCCTCTGAGTCTCTCACATTAAGACTACTTTCCCCATTTCTTAGACTTAATGGCCACAATTTCTGGGAAATATCTGGGGGCTTAGAATTGCCTTTGGGAAATGGCCTAAAAAGACTCAATTGCATTCATCTTTACTTATATCTTCTATGGATTCCCCAAAGAGAATGAAATTTAGTTTGACAACAGTAGTGCTTCACAAGGCCATTTGTTAAAGCAATTTATTTCAGTCGTTTAAGTTACAATTTAAAAGAAACCATCATAAGCCTTCACAACCTTTTATAGGCAACAGACCGCACAAATTACAGCACATTGTCCCTGTTCCTTTAAAAAGCAAATGACTCTGGACCCATAGAGAATGCTGGGTTTAATGTTCAGTAACAGGACCTGGGAAAAAACTGGACCAGCTGACATCTGCAAAGTAGGCACCAGTTAGGCTGGGAGAAAACAGAAAAAATTCCCTTAGGTTTAGAAGTCCTGTTTGTGAGGGAAAGAAAGGAAAGTTTGGGGTCAAGTTTTAAATGTACCAAGTGCTCAAGAGGAGCTGCTTAGGAAGAAGAAAAGAACACAGGAACGTGTAGAATGAGGCATAGTTATTGGAACAAAAGTCAGCTCAGACAGAAGCTCTGGGTTGACCTCTAATCCTCTATAAGATTAATAGGAGAGAAGAAAAAATGTGCAGCTAGGGGAAGAGGTAACACTCTTACTTTTTCAGTCTTCAAAAAAGGATGCCATATCCCCTTACTCTTACCTATAGCAGTGTTTAGGGCTTTGCCCCCGTCTCTCTGATGCTTACTTTCCAAGGGCAATAGACTGGCAAAAGCTGCCATTTCCAAGTGTACCTGTAACCACCCAACCCACTCTAATCCTGTTCCTTCTAGGACACGAAGAGCTGGGGCTAATGGCTCTTGTATAAAAGCAGTTTGATGGAAAGAAAGAAACAACCAGGGAGCTCTGCAGTCAATATCAGGCTCTCTGAGACAGAAGGACAATGAGCATTTGACCTTTCAGGTGCGTGGCTGCCTCACCATTCATGTCTCATCTGAGCACCAGGTCTCACCTGCTCTCTCAGAGTCAATGTATCATAAGAGCTCTCTGTTCAGGCAGACAGAATAAAAATAGTCATCTGCTCTTGACAGCATCCTTCACTCCCTTGTGCTCTTCTTTCAGTGCCTCTTGTTTCTCACTGCCTCTGCTCCTCTTGTGCTTGAAATTTTAATTCTTAGGGACTGAATGGAGAAATTGCTATTTTATGGAAATACACACACACACACACACACACACACACACACACACACACACGGCAATAAAACACATGCCACATTCCATGACCAGTCAGTTCTGTTGGTTAGCTTAGCTCTACAGTTATATCCCAGGAAAAATGAAGCCAACGGATGAAGGGTGATTCCCCAGACAGGCAGCCAAATACCATCATCCCAACATCTACCTTATGAGTGTTAAGGTAGGAGGCTCACTACTGATCCAACCCAACAGTGATAAAATTAATCAACCAGCATAACAGGTCAAGAGCGCCATTATCTTAAACAAAGAACAGCTCATTACAAAGCATCATATTTCTTTTCCCCATTCAGAAATCACATGCTTCCCCACCCAAGAGGAAATTGTGATACTTTACCCAATTGGAATGCTGGTTTCCTTCTCATCACTTTCTAAAAATCATCTCTAGAAGACTTGGGAACATGTCACTCCAAAGAGCAGACCTTCAAAATAGTCAAAGAGGTACTGACCTCACAAGTTTCTCTGAAGCCAACATAAAAGAAAACAGGTGTCCCTAGAGGCATTCCCTCAGCAATAATATTAAAGAAACTGCCTCAGCTCCCTTCCTTCTGAGGTAAGCCGCATGGGCATGGCAACTGAACTCATTACCTAGGTGTGCAGATGTGGATGCGTATTTGAGATGAAATGCTGTCAGTACGATAGATCTTTTTCCAAAAGTGCAAAGTTTTATGTCCATTGACTACTTATCAAACTTTCCTCATGGTGACTTCACATCGCAAAAGTCAGCAGCAATTTTCTTAGGTACTACTCGTGGTTGTTGCATACTGCCAGACCTCCCAGCTACCATCACATTATCTAACAGCTCCCATTATGTAGCACTTACTGTATACCTGGTACTGCAAAAAAGACTTCACTTACAGTATCTCATTTAATTCACAAGTATGTACATTGGTATATAGCATATATAATTATCCACTTTTTACAGATCATAAAAGTGCTTAGAGAAGATGAGTGGCTTGCCTAAGGTTATTTTAAAAAAAAAAACAAAACATAGATCAGGACTCAAAGCTTTGTCTAACTGGTGCCAGAGCCCAAGTTCTTAATGACTATCCTCGATCATCCTTTAGTTAACTCTTCACCTGATGATGGAATCTAGCATATCCTGGAAGGCTTCCTGAATCATTGCCTGCTTCTATTTGGAGTGATTATTTTCATCCCAGGCAATCAAGATAGAATCGATTGCCAAAATGTATAACCTCTTCCTGCTCAAGGTCCCATGAACTATTCCGACCACAAAGTCTGGAAATGGTATTCAAATGTATTCTACCATATACCACCAACCGGCACTTCAGTTAGAGTGTGGGTCATTCAGTGGTCAGGGGGGCCTGTCTGGAGTTAGTCACCTCTGGATTAGAATAGCAACTACCAGCGTGGCTTTGGGCAAGTTCCTTTACCTCCCATATTTCAGTTTCCTCATATGTAAAAGCAGGAAAAAAATCCCATTGTCCCACTTCTTATATGACAGTTTGGATAAACAGTGCAGATGAAGTGTTAGTTGGCATAGCACCTGATACTCTGCTAAAGGCTTAGCAGATGGAACTCAGGTATGTCGATGTTGGGGATATGGGTTACCATTTTTACACAGAGCAAATCATATGTGAGGGGAAAAAAACAAGTTTGTTTTATTGGATATTAAGTAGGCTCACCTCAGGTGACCCCATGCCATTGGCGACTGGGGGATAGCAGAGTGGAGGAGACTTTGTCCTCTCTGCTCTCTCCCCTCTAATCTCTACAAGAAATGCTTCTCCTTCCTCTTCTTGCTGGTAAGAATTACCTGCACCTTGTACCGTCTTTCATCCCTATTTGTGAATGTTGCCATTCCAGACAGTACATGCTGTCTTCTCTCATGTGACTCTAACCCTCATGGCCTAAATGGCAGGCAGGGTGTAGGAAGAGAAGTTGATTTATTAACAAGGCCTCAAGGTCAAAGAATGCTTCATAAATAACCTCCTCCATTTAAGAAATTTAATATTTAAAAAGCAACGAGATCCATTTCATATGTACCAGATTTGCCAAATCAGAAAGTCTGGGTAACACCAGCATTATGGAGGATGTGGGGAAATAGAACATCCTTTGCATCGCTGAAAAAAAGTAAAAATTGGTTATAATCACCTTGAAGAACAATCCTCATCATGTGACTCTTTTTTAAAATAAATTTGATTGGGGCTGGGCATGGTGGCTCATGCCTGTAATCCCAGTACTTTGAGAGGCCCATGCAGGCAGACTGCTGGAGCCCAGGAGTTCAAGGCCAGCCTGGGTAACATGGCAAAACCCTGTCCTGACCAAAACAAACAAACAAAATTTAGCCAGACATGGTGGCATGCACCTATAGTCTCGGAAGACTATACTCGGAAGGCTAAGGTAAGAGGATCACCTGATCTCAGGAGGTTGAGGATACAGTGAGCCGAGATTGCACCACTGTACCCTAGCCTGGGTGACAGAGTAAGACCCTATCTCCATATATATATATATATATGTAATGTTATTGTGTATATTTAAGATATACAACATGATGTTATAGGATACATACGTGTAGTAAATAGCCATGATGTTGAAACAAACTGACATTTCTATGATTTCAGCTACCCATTTTTCTGCCCTATAGCAAGAGGAACTACAATCTTCTCATTTAGCAAAAGTCCTAATATAATACACTATTAGTAACTATCTTCCTCATTTTGTACACTTGATCTGCAAACTGGTTTATCATACATATCTGCTGCTTTGTATACTTTGACCTTCTCCATTCTATTTCCTCTCCCACTCTCTAATCCTGGTAACCACTGTTGCATGCTCTATATATTTGATCCTTTCTTAAAGATTCCATGTATAAGTGAGATCATGCAATATATTTCTTTCTGTATTTAGGTTATTTCACTTAATATAATGTCACCCAGGTCCATCCATGTCATAGAAAATGGCAGGATTCATTCAAATGAATAAGGAAACTGTGGTATATACACAGCATGTGATTCTTTTGATTTTTTTTTTTTTAACTGGTGGCAGTTTTCTTTTTCTTTCCAACTTTTATTTTAGGTTTGGGGGTATATGTGCAGTTTTGTTACATGGGTAAATTGTGTGTCATGGGGTTTAGTGTACAGATTATTTCATCACCCACATAATGAGCATAATAATCAATAGGTGGCTGGGTGCAGTGGCTCATGCCTGTAATGCCAGCACTTTGCGGGGCTGATGTGGTCAGATCACGAGGTCAGGAGTTCAAGACCAGCCTGACCAACATGATGAAACTCCGTCTCTACTAAAAA